TCGGACCATGATCCCCTGCTTATTTAAGTTATCATCACAACTACCTTGACCTGTCTCCTTAATATCAGCAAAGGCATTGTATCTGTTATGAAGGACACAGCAAAAGCTTTGTGTTTATGGTTCATAGCTCTTGCCCTGCCAGATCCCACGGTTGTCCACACTGCCCTTCTCCTGCAGGATCTATGTGGTAGAGGGGGCTGATAGCGTGGAGGCTCAATAGAGTAGAAGGCTGACTGGATACCTAATTTCTGCCTGAACAGCACAGATTACAGACCCTAGATAAATAATCTGTCCTTACAGATAGGACAGTTTCCAAGTTTGAAAAGAGTACTGTGAAAGACAGCTGCAAAACAAGTGTTGCATTGAACTAAGCCAGACATTCTGAGATGAAAGGAATCTCAGACACACTTGCCCTGAATGTTCTGCTGCTGTTTTTGATTTTTAGTTATATGATTTTACTTTCCTCTCCACCTTCCTCCTTCTTAACTCACAGATTGTAGCTCTTCCTAGCAACCTCTGGGCAGTTTAAATGCAATGGGGGTCCAATCAGCAGGGGCTCAGCTACTTTCCTCCTGCACCCTCCTCCTTCTTAACTCACAGATTGTAGCTCTTCCCAGCAACCTCTGGGCAGTTTAAATGCAATGGAGGCCCAATCAGCAGGGGCTCAGCTACTTTCCTCCACTAACTACAAAACACAATATAAAATGACTGTAGGAATACCTTTTCAATAAATGAATGAATGAATGAATGAATGAATAAGCAAGTAAATAAATAAATTTTTAATATAGGGAATCATGTTAACTAAAATAATAATTATAATAATAATAAAATTAATAAATAAATAAATAAATAAAGACAGATAGAAGCTAATGAAACTGTGAACGTTGAAGTAATCTTTCCCAATCTTAAAGTATAATAGATCTTATAATAATACAGCAAAATGATTTGGAGCAGATTAAGGACAGATAAAAAGTATTTGTTCACATAAAATGTATTTTAGATCTTTTTAATAATCTTTTATAATTAGTTTTATTACGTGCTTTTATCCAGCATTAGACTATATTCAATGTATTTTTATTGTCAGGTCAGTATGATTCAGTTTTTCTGAAGGTAGCTATGTTTTGTTATACTGTCTGTAAAACTAGGCAGACCTTGGTCACCCATTGATTACATCATTAATTGTAATATATTGCTATGTCTTCCTGTGTTGATTCTGTTTAGTTTTGTTTTATTTGAATGTTTAATTTATGTGTTGGCCTTTGACTATAATAATAAAAATCTAATTGAATAAAATGTATTATCAATTTGTCAATCAGAATAGACCTGAAAGGAACCTTGGAGGTCTTCTACTCTAACCCCTTGTTCAAGCAGGAGACCCTATACCAGTGGTGGCAAACCTATGGCACAGTTACCAGAGGCGGCACTCAGAGCCCTCTCTGTGGGCATGCGCGCCGTTGCCCCAGTCCTAGGCCTTCAGCTGGGTTTTATAAAATCTTTTCACTTTAGACCTCCGCCATCGTGTACAAAAAAAATAAAAGGTTCAATCAATCAGTCAATTTCAACTTCTCGCAGGAAAAAAAAAAGATCTTGCAAAGCTGGAATTGATTGATTGAACTTTTTAGTCCCATCCAGTCTGCCGTTACCACCGTAGCCACGCCTACCCAATGGGCCACACCCACTCAATGGGCCACCCAATGATGCATAAGTGGGGTTTGGGTTGCAGTTTGGGCACTCAGTCTGTAAAAGGTTCACCATCACTGCCCTATACCATTTCAGATAGATGGTTGTCTAATCTTTTCTTAAAAACCTCCAGTGATGAAGTGCCTACAAGTTTCGAAGGCAAGCTGTTCCACTGATTAATTTTTCTCACCATTAGGAAGTTTGTCCTTAATTCCAGGTTGCTTCTCTCCTTGATTAGTTTCCATCTATGGTGTTTTGTCTTCCCTTCTGGTGTTTGGAAAATAAGTTGACCCTCTCTTCTTTGTGGCAGCCCCTCAAATATTGTTATAATGTCACCCCTAGTCCTGCTTTTCTCTAGACTGGCCATACCCAATTCCTGCAATCGTTCTTCAAATGTTTTTGTCTCCATGCCCTTCTTTGCACTTTTTCCAAAGTCTCAACATCTTTTTTGTAATGTGGTGACCAAAACTGGATGCAATATTCCAGGTGTGATCTTATTAAGGATATATAAAGCGGTATAAATACTTCACGTGATTTTGATTCTCTGCCTCTGTTTATACAACAAAGGACTGTATTAGTGTTTTTGGCTGCTGGCTCATATTTAAGTGATCATCTAGTAGAACTCCGCTTACAGTTATGCTTTTTGAGCCAGGTTTTACCTAATCTATACTTGTACCTTTGGTTTTTCCTGCCTAGGTGTAAAATCTTGCTTTTCTCTACATTAAATATCATTTTGTTGGATAAGGCACATTTTTCAAGTCTGTCAAGATCTTTTTGGATCCTAGCTTGTCTTCTATTCGTGCCAGCTTAGTGTCATCTGCAAATTTGCAAAGTTCCCCTTCTATTCCCTTATCTAAGTCATTTATGAAGATATTGAAGAATACTGAAGACTACTAGGCCTAAGACGGAATATTAAGGACTGCTTGTTGAGTATGGTTTTTCAGCCAGTTACAAATCCATCTGGTGGTGATGCTTCTATCACACATTTTTCTAGTTTACCAAGAAGTAGGTTATGATCTACTTTGTCAAATGCCTTGCTGAAGTCTAAGTATATTATACTAAGTATATTCACTGGTCTACTAATTTAGTCACTTTGTCAAAGAATGAAATATGATTGGTTTGGCATGATCTATTTTTAGCAAACCTGTGCTGGCTACTAGTTATAACTTTGTTTCCAGATGTTCACAGATCTGGTTTTTTTAATACTATACTATACTATACTATACTATACTATACTATGCTATGCTATGCTACGCTACGCTACGCTACGCTACGCTACGCTACGCTACGCTACGCTACGCTACGCTACTCTACTCTACTCTACTCTACTCTACTCTATACTATGCCAGTATCTTCCCAGGTATTGATGTTCTGCTGATTGGTCTATATTTCCTGGGTCTTTTTTCCTCCTTTTTTTTGAAGATGGGCACCATATCAGCTCTTTTCCAATCTTCTGGTAGTTCCCTGGTACCCCAGGATTTTTTAAAGATATGGTATAATAGTTCTGAGATAACGTCTGCCAGCTCTATCAGAACTCTGGGATGTAATCCATCAGGTCCTGGTGATTTATATTCATCAAGGCCAGACAGGTGTTATCCTACCATTTTCTTGCTTATTGTAATTTTTTATTTCTAATCTGTCTTTTACAATTATGTTTTTGGTAGGCTGAGCTATAGTTTCTTTTTGCATGAAGATTGATGCAAAGAATGAGTTAAGCAGCTCTTCTTTCTCTCTACTACCTGTTACTTCCTTGCCATTTTCTCTGTTTAGTGGACCAACTGCTTCCTTGACTTTTTTGTTGTTGTTTATATGTTAAAAGAAACTTTTTTATTATCTTTGACTTTTGTTGCAAGTCTGTGTTCATTCTGAGTCTTTCCTTTCCTGACTTCTATCTTTCCAGATTCAGGCTATTCTGCCTTAGTTATGTGTCCTTCTTTTCATTTTTTGTACTTATCCTTTTTGTCTTTCAGTTTATCAGAGAGATCTTTGTGCAACCATGCTGGTTTCTTCTTGGATTTCTTGTTTATCTTTTTCAGTGGTATTGTGTTGGACTGGGCTTTTATGATCATATTTTTCAGTGTTTCTCAAGCTTCTTGATTTGCTTTTCCCTTTAGGATTTTTATCCATGGAATTTATCTTAGGCTCTCTCTGAGTTTGTTAAAATCAGCTCTTTTAAAGTTCAAGGCACTGGTTGGATTATATTCTATTGCTTATATTTGCATTATATTGAATTCCAATATGATGTGGTCACTCTCACCCAAGGTTCTGGCCAAGGCTTAAGTTTCCTAAAGTATGTTCTGACTTTAAGTTTTCTTTGAAAATACTTTAAAAACACTATGGTAGACATGTTTACCAGTAGGCTATTAGCATGATAACTGAGACTTGCATGTCCAGAAGCAGTTTCAATTCTACACAACATCCTTCTGATTTTCACATCATCTTTAATTACTTCTTCATGCCATTGTATATTCCATCTGTTTCATTCTCATTCTGTATTATTCACAAATATGCTGTGAAATGTAAAATGGAGGCAGGATCATGGCACACAGTTTTTCTAATAGAATATCCAAAATCTAAGGCAATACACTAGAAAGTTACTTCCATTTGATGAAAAAACAAGCTATTGCTCCAAGGTGGCTAGAGGCCAGATGTTTTGTAGATTACAATGTGCCACCACTTCTTTGCACTCTATGTCTTCCAATGGCCAGGAGTGTATCCTGCAGTAATGTGGTAAGATTCAATATTTTAATTTCAACTTATGAGAATATACAACAAGGGATTTTTCTCCTTCATGACATCCTGTTTATAAGCTTTCCTGAAAGATGGTTGCCCATTCTGTGTTGGAAATAGAATGTTAGACTAGATCATCTTGTATAGACTAGATCATCTTTGATGGTTTCAGTTACCAGATTTTGGAACTTATAGTTCAACATAACTGGAAAGCAGTCTGAAGCAGGCTGGACTAGACAGACAAGGTGATATGATTTTCCATGTTTTTCCTCTATAAATGTGATTTTCAGAATGTGAGGAAAAAAAGCCCTATCCATATGATGTTGGATGAAAAGACAAGGCCCTTTGTAGCTCACTAATGCAAACCTTTCAAACTTGGAAGACAGAACACACTAGTTCACAACCCAAATCAAGACAGATAATAAATAATGATTTGTGAATAACATGTAAGAGATGAGAACTAGCATTTAGGGTTTATTATGTTTTCCTATGAAATATGCTGATGCTTTGAAAACAATGGATTATGAATGGTTACAGAACATACAAGTTGGAGATTTGGCATATGTGCCAAGCACAGCAAGGCATGTTACCTTGAGGGCATTAACCATCGCTTCAGGCTGCTGAGAAGATAAGGAGGCCTGTTCATTGAAGCTAGCTGGATGGCTCGGAGAACAGACATTCCCATCTGCCTCTGATGGCATCCTAATGGGATCCTTAGTAAAAAAAAATCAAAAGCTATTTAATAGTAAAAAGTAGGCCAAGCTAATCAAATAAAACAATTCACATACCCACCCTTCCTCTTTATTTTAATTCCCATTGGGCAAATACAAAATCTCTCTCTCTCTCTCTCTCTCTCTCTCTCTCTCTCTCTCTCTCTCTCTCTATATATATATATATATATATATATATATATATATATATATATATATATATATATATATATATATTCTGAGGTTTTCACGGGTATTTGTATGTAGGTCTTTGGTCATTCGGGTTTTCTCCCACATCAAATTGGAAGTGTCTTGGCGACGTTTCGACAAAGACTCATTCGTCATCTTCAGGCTGGTGTTTTCGGCTTCGTGCTTCTAGAAGCACGAAGCCGAAAACACCAGCCTGAAGATGACGAATGAGACTTTGTCGAAATGTCAGCAAGACACTTCCAATTTGACGTGGGAGAAAACCCGAATGACCAAACACCCCCCCCCACACACACACACACACATATATATATATATATATATATATATATACACACACACACACACACAATTCTAAAACGTGTATCATAGGCCTTCATAAATATGGTAATTGTGTGAAGTTTCTACATATTTCTGTCATATCACGATAGTGTCAGCCCTATCAGATAGACCAGCTTAAGAAACAGATGTGTCTGCCTAAAGCTACTTTTATTAGAACAGTTGTAGCACAGTAACCTTGAAGTTTGAATCTGCTACCTTTCCTCCTTCTTTTATCTCCATGAGAATTGGGGAGGGGTCATTTATATAAATCTCTTTCTTGATATGGGCTCAAATTACATTTATCTGATTGCTTCCTTGGTAACAGATCTTCCCACTGTTCATCAAGACCATATTCTAATCTATAAGCTCTACAGATAACAATAAGACTTCATTAGTCTCAGGAACCAAAATTTCTAACTTCAGTCCAATACAAATTACAGCACGTTTAACTCCTACTACAAACAAGTTCAATTTAATATGCCTTATTAATTTTCACAAGATTTAAGCACAGTTGATTTCATGAAATTGAGACCCAGTGTTTTATTTTCACAAACACAACAGGACCACACTGTATTAATATAAGATATGGTATCCATCATTATCAGTAAAAGGAAAATGGGTTTACGAAAAAGTCTCAGATCCATAAACTACACACTATCCATTAAAATGTCTGATTACTATCTCCATTTTCCAATGATTTTACTTGTTTTACACAAATCCCTCTGAAAGTAAAGTTCAAAATGCTTTCTGCGATGTTTAAAGGAGTTCAAGGTGAAACTGCAGTTGCTGGGGCAACCTAATCCAGCCATTTGCTTTGGTAACATGCTAAAAATATCCTTACTGCAAGGAAGGTAATAATAGCTTGGCTAGTCACAACCAAATCAAATCAGATCAGATTCTTCAGAGATGCTTGTGATATTATCAACCAGATTTGCCTCTCCTCCACCCTGCCATTTAATTAAAACACTGAGGAGAAAAAGTTGTGGGGGAGGGGAAGGAGCAAACAATCTTAGTTAAGGATTGTCTTAAGTCAGAATGAACATTTTTTTCAGGCCAAGGGGGAGATAATTTTCCACAATGAATGAATGAACAAATGTAATATTTTGACTCACTAGTTTAATTGGCTTCTCTATCTAATTTTAGAACATGTGTGGAGAACAGATCACATTTTAGTTTGTATTTATGCAGAAATAATGAATATTCAAAAGGGTTCAGAAAGTTGCCTTTGGTTTTTGTATGGACAGTTTGCTTTTGTGCAAGCTCAAATCTTGCAAGTTTTGGAACATCTTAAACCTGTCTGAATCTAACTCCTGCCCATTAGCTCTATCCCTATTTATCTCCACAGCATTTTACAGGAGTTTGCCTTAGTAGTAAATGCCTTATTCCACCCAATTGCTTAGGCATTTTATTATGCAAGTTAAAACAAAGTTTTTCTTATTTTTAATAAAACCCATTTTAAATCGAAAAGTAAGGCTGATGTTCTCTAGCCATCTATCTCAAAGCTATTGGGGCCAGATATATGTTACAGAGTTGATTTTCCTTTTGTTATCTCTATTATGCCCAGTTTATGGCTGGAGAGAGTTTCATTTCTATCACATGCTGTCTTCCACTCACCCCTGAGTCTGGGAAGATGAAGGTGGCAGTGCCAAACTATTATACCAATGTAGCCAGATACTTTGCCATGCACTCCAGGAGAAGAGAGGTGGAAACAAAAGGGGCAGGTCGAAGAGTCAAGACTTTTTCACCCACAGCATTGCCCTCAACATGTCAACTATTCACTACTGCTGCTGTCAAACCCCCACAAGGCAGAAAATATGCTCAAATTCTACTTGAATTGAGCTCCAAAGAGATTTGCAAAATGGTGAGCTATCATAATATTGTATAAATGTCTCTTAAAATTGGTATCATAGCTGCCTTTCATTCAGACATTTCCCGCATTAGTCGCACACACTCTCACACAAATACACTTGAAGCACTGTCAAAACAACTAAAATTACAAGTATAGGAATGTACATGCTAGTTAAACTTCAGTGTTAGAAAAGAAATATCTTTAATTAATATCTATAATTAATCCTTGTACTTCTATATTCTGATACTAAAGCAATAAGAAAGATATTTTTTAAAAAATATGTGGTTTTAAAAATATATATTAAAAGGCTGCATGATTTCCTTTCAGATGCAGACCATATGACTTTATCAACATTTACACGACTTTGTACTCTCCAGGCTAAGGTAATAATAATGTTTATTAGAATTATTATTTAAACAATACTTGCTGCAGTAATATTTATCAAATTATTTGCCTTCAGGAAGACATTAATTTATTTGCTAAATAGCAAGTCCGTTTGGCATAATACCAAAACTTATACAATATAAAATGTTCTAGTTCTTTTCTTGGGCAATTGTGACCAGACGTTCTGTGGATGTCCTTATATGTTTTTCCTATATATTTATAATTTAAACAACATGATTCTTTGTGGTGGTTGGGGGGTACAAAACAATTAAACAAAATATAGGAGAAAAATCAGACATGTCATTAAATAGAACTAAAACAATTCTAAAGGTAGGGGGAGGGTCATTCCAAAGGGCAAGGACAACCACCAAGAAGGCATACCTCCTGGGTCTAATAAGGTGACATTGTTTCAGAGAAGAGACCTAGAGCATAGCCCTATTGAACATAAGGGATAGGTAGATACCATTGGAGACAGAGGACACTCACCAGTAAGTTTTAAAAGTGATAACCAGCACTCTGAATTGCTTCCAGAAGCCTATTGGGAGCTAGTGGGGTGTTACAAGATTTAATGATGCATGCCCAAAATTACTGATGCTGTTGTTCTGGACCAACTGAAATCAGATGGTCTTCAAGAGCAGTACCACGTACAGTACATTGCAATAATCCAACTGGGAATTGACTAAGGCATGAATGACATAAAATATAACTGGAAGAAGCTGATGAATGCCTTTCCTTCCTTCCTTCCTTCCTTCCTTCCTTCCTTCCTTCCTTCCTTCCTTCCTTCCTTCCTTCCTTCCTTCCTTCCTTCCTTCCAACATTAGACAGAGGCTAATTAATAATAATATAAAGCAATTCTTTATTAAATTATATCTAATTCTTGTTACCATCAAGTTACTTGAAGCCATTTTAAGGGATCAGGAAACTGGAAGCAGATAAATATCCCTGAGGGAAATTTTGACAGGGAAAAAAAATTTATGCAACAGCTTAGTCATAATAGCACTCAAGGAAATCATTTTCATTTCTTTAGAGCTGACACTTAAAAACTCAGATTATGTCTGAGTATACTATATGTTCTGGAAAGTTAATTATGTTTTCCTCAGTCTTAAGCTAGAGCAGTATTTCTCCAGATTTGGGAGCAATTAAACCTCAGAAGCTCCAGCTAAAAGAATCCCAGTTACAAAGTAATGGGCAATTCCCCCTCTTTCTCTGATGCTAATACCAGTCTTTTCTATTTTGCTGTTCTCCAGATACATTCAATTTTAACTGCTGTCCTATACTTACTAACCAGTAAGAGACTGATGCTAGCTAAGGATTATGGGAATGTTAGTTAGTTCAATATAGTTGGAGGGAGTAACATTCTGAGAAATTGATGAATGGGCCAGCAGCCCAATGCAAAATATTGAATGTGATACATTCATAGATCCCAAAACAGTAGACCTAGGAACAACCCCTCATTCAAAGACCAAAGTTGCGACAATCCTGAATGAGTGATACTTATGACCAGGTCTCAAAGTTTTGACTGCTGCAGTACTCCCAGAGTCATGTGATTTGGATGCTTGGCAACCATTTGCACTTAGGATACTTACAGCTTCCCACAGTAATGTGATCACCCTTTGCAACCTTCCCTGTTTGGCATCCCACAAACAAAGTGAATGGGGAAGCTGGCAGGTACTGCAAGTCATTCCTGCTCCCATCATTGATAATTAGCTGGTAATTAACTGATAATCAGCACAATTCATGTATTTCTCATTAACAATCTCATGGCCCCAATGTGCCAGTTTCTAGGCTATTTTCATCACAATTCCTCATAAGTATACTGCAGTGGTTATCAGGATATGGACAGATGTAGTAACTCTAAATGTTTCTAAATAGTCTCATAATAATTGATATATCAATCTAATCTGAGAAAGATACTTAGCATTTGTGCTTTCACAGAATTATTAGTTCCTCTCCCCATCAGCTCACATTTTTCCTAGCTAAACTGAGATATAAGGTCTCAAATGACATGAAATAATACAAAAGCAGAAAACGTGAACACTCACAAGCTTTGTAGAGAAAAGGCACTTTATCAGCCATGCTGATAGCACCATGAAGAGAAGCTCCCAGTAGCAATTTGTAGACTGCATTGCCCATGTAATGGATATGCCAATTTACTTTGCAAATCACCACACAATGGGACACAGAAATATGAGAGCAAATTCACAAGAGGAGGTATGACTATTTCTGCTTCTCTTGGGAGTTT